CCAGGTTGGAATTAAGTGCTCCTGTCTATCTTGAGTATCTGTATTCTTGTCATAGCTTTTCACCGCCTGTCCACATAGAAGGTGCCAATTACCCACTACCCATGGTCGTGTTTCGCCTTTTTGATTATGCTGATTGTCCAGAGGATGTATGTCATACACCATTTTAATCACGCATTAAGCTCTAATTATTGAAATGTTTCTGTAGGGTACCGTTCTGCCTGGTGCTCATTCCATCGAACGGTTCCTGATTGAAGAGGAGCTTAACTTGATAGTTGCATTCAACGCTGCTGACCGAAGAATATGGTGATTTTTACCTAATTTTTTCATAGTTTACGCTGAATATTCTCTACAAAAGGAGAAACTTTACTTGAATTTTTTTGTACATACCTTTTCCTTGATATTTTGCGCTAAATTTTTGTACGGAGTGAAATTCTTCCCTCAGTAATTGTTGTCAAGATTGACTTCCATCTGATGCGTGCACGGCTAGCTGTATGCTTGCAATATACCTAGAGTCGTTTGTGGTGGTTTCCTTTTGCATCATTTTGATTTACTATCTTATCAGTGCTGAAGAACTTACAAACTATGCACGTGGAGCAAACGTTCCCATCGCGTACATGATACTCGAAGTCCTCTTCTCGCAGCTGTTTCGTCTTCCACATCCACCTCAGCCTACTGGTTTTTATGGTGAGTCGGTTTCAGAGAAAAGGGATTGAAGTTCCCATTTTTGATTTTATTCTTCTCCTCTTTTTTCTCCGATCAGTCTCGTATACATCAGAACTCGTCTGAACTTTATATGTTATTTGCAGGGCCTCTACTTCTGGATCTCTGTAGGCTGCAGCCGTCTACCATGCCTCAAGTTTTAGCGCAGGCATCAGAGCTGTTGTATCAGCGTGCCGGTACAATGCAGCCGTTGTGTCTCGATAGGTATTTTAGTGCTTCGAATTAGTCGTGATCATTCTAATTCTTTCTTCACGTCTTTCTTGCAGATTTGTGGATTGGTTCAGTTTTCATCTGTCCAATTTTGGTTTCCGTTGGTCATGGGATGATTGGAAAGATTGTCTCACTGTGAGAATTCGTTTTTATCTCCACCAATGGTTTGAAGAACATTATCTTCCTTTCAGGCTGACCGGTGGGACGCAAAGAAGATCTTCGCTCGTGAAGTGATAGA